GATGGTGCTGCTCTTCTACTTAAGGTGTCATTTTCAGTTAATGGGCACTGGGGTTAGTTCCAAGACCTGTTTAACTTCCATGAGCCAGATTCTTCAATGACCATTTTGACTGAGTAAAAGTTTCAGAATTTAACCCCCTGGTTTTGTTTTATTGTCATTGTACTCTGCTTGATAACTCATTGGGGATACATCTTCTTCTGATATTTCATTGATACTTGAAAACTCTTATGGTCAAAACCTAAGTTTTTACATCCAGTACTTTAGGCCTGATTAGGCAAAAGCTTCAGTAAGGTGATACTCAGTATTGAATGCCTCCTAAATGTGTAAAAATATATTTTGTTCATGCACGAATTGTTATTAATGGCTCAAAGGAAGGAGCTTTTTATGTCCATTCCAATACTTTGCGATTAGGTGTAATGACTAACAACAACAGTATAGAGATCAAATAACTATGTTAATCGCATAATTAAGAGTTGGTAAGCATCCACAGATTAAGTTCTGTGTGGTAGAAGCATAAACTGGCATACAAAAAACACTGACATCAAATGGCTGTGAGTTGCCCATTGCTAGCATTCAACAAGAGAAGTATTTGGTACAGTTTTGTTGCATGTCTACACTGTAGTAGATTGCTTTGTAATATCACAGTAGTAATGTGTAATCTTGCATTTTTTTAAACGGTTTGTTACTATGATATTACGGAGCACAATAAAACACGTGGGAAGAGTGAATTAATTGATTATTAACATGCTGCAGTAATTTAGCCAATTCCAAAAGAGTGTGGTACTCTAGCTCACCTTTAAACTTTAATATATCTAAAGTAGCTGTTTCTTTTTAAAAGGAACAACAAAAAGTACTTTTTTTTAAATTTAAAAGTAGGTTATTTGTTTAATGCTTGATAGTGAAAGAGTAAGTATTTTGGTAGATTTTTCTCCATGTGACTTGTTTATTGATCTTTATTTCTCTTTATTTAGATCCCCATATTAAAGTCTCTGGAAAAAAAGAAAATGTTAAAGAAGCTAAGGAGAAGATCATGTCTGTCTTGGACACAAAAGTAAGAAGAAAATATTTTTAAAATTAGATTCCTGGGCCAAAATCCTGTGTGCAGGCCCCTATTTCTATGGTATAGTGACACTGAATTCTGCAGCAACTTAGAGGAAATTAAAAAGCAGATGCTTATATTAAAATTTTACATTAAAATGAATAATATGGTTAGTAACGTGTCCCTTGGGGGGGGAGGGGATGTTGATACTGAATTCAATACACTTCTGTTTGAAACTGTTTTTCAGTTTTGTGCAGACTTAAGAAGACAACACTGTTTCCGGTTCCGTTCCGTTCACATTTGGGGGGAAATTTTCCGTATCATATTGGCTAAAAACTTGAACGGAGTTTTCTCTTTTTAAAAAAAAGCAAACTCCACTGCAAGTAGTGGATTGTGTGGCCAATTCTGTAGTACAGAATTGTGGAAAGCATGGTGTGTTTTCCTAATTTTATGATATTTCAGAAATGAAATATTGTGTCTGAAATTAGACTATAATGAGGCTTACTAATTAAATGGCTGGGGGGAGGTGTTTTGTTCACAGATCAAGTGTTTGACAAAATTATAAATTGACACGTCATTCTCTCTGCACTCAGATGTTATGATGTTCTTAGCATTATATATGTAAATGTTTAGTGTTACCAGATTTGCCCATTACTTTGGGGTATGCTCATTTATTCGGGTTACTCCTCTGGGGAAGGGGGTTCTGTAATCCTGTCAATGTACTGCTTGTGTCACTTGTGTTTACATATGGAGCTCTACTTCTCCCTTCTGCAAGTCCCCTCCCAATGGAGCTATGCTGCAGGACCTAGGGTCCCTAGGGCTGGGTTACTCCCACCCCAGAACCGGATGAACACCCACATGTACATTAACAGAGCAAGTCTGAGCAGACCGGGTCAATCAGCACTGTCAAGCTGACCCCTTATATGTCTCTGGACTCACTGGGCTGGAGGAAGCAGCACTTTCAAGCTGTCTCTCCTTATATGCCCCTGGGCTCCATGGACTGGGTCAAGCAGCACTTTCAAGCTGTTACCCTTATGCGTCCCAAATTTAGCACGTCCCTATCCCCACTCTCACAACACAATTGTACTGGCAGTAACCTATTTGATGAGCAAACCCCACAGTATTTTGGGCGCTGCAGGGATCTTTAGCTTAGGTAAAAGAAGTGTTGCTGTAGAGTGAATGGGGGAAGCTAAAAACACAAACAAGTAAAGTTCAGCAAGAGAGAGAGAAGCAACCAACTTAACCATAGAAGTTATTTTTTGAATAATAGTAATAACTACACAAGGAGGACTAAACCAACATAACATACACGATTAAAGGTTAATATCTAAGGTAGAAAGGAAAACAGAGAGAGAGAGAAGGAGGGGGGGTCTCACCCACTCCATGAGGCTTGAACTGGTCAGGGTTCCCAGATGATGGTGGTAGCTGAGGGTTCTGAATGCTGGAGACAGGCAGAGCCCCCAGCACGATCAGTCAGGAGATGGAGTTCCAGTGGAACTGATGCACAGCGTGGATCTAAGCATCAGAACCCTGACTAGAGGGTGAGTAGGGATTTTTGTAGAGAAATTACAATGGTTCAAGGGAGAACACTAGATTTGTTTATAGGTAAACTGATGACTCAAGGGTTTTCTTTAGACTAGACAATAGGAGCTGATCACTCTTGGCTATGGGTGGTGTTTTCTTCCAGGGAGCTCACAATGCAACTAGGCTGCTTCAGTATTTGGATATCAATTAAGGATTCATTACCAGAATTGGTCTGATAACTGCTGAGCTGGGTGTGTGTGCAGGCATAGGTTCATTAGCATCTGGAGCAGAGATTCCCAGGATGCAGTGCTTCCCTGCTTTTTCTGGTCCCAGAATTCAGTGTGGTTCTCTGTTGTCCATTCTGTATGTAAATTGAGATGTCTTCCTGTCCCATCTTTCAGGCAGATGAGGCAGGAAGACATCTCAATTTACATACAGAATCTGTTACCCTGTTGTCCCATCTTTCATGCAGATGAGGCTGGGGGAGTTGTCTTTGCTCTCCATTCTGTATGCTAATGGAGATGTCTTAATCTTGTCACCCTTGTCAGGAGGGGTCTAGGTGTGTCTCCCAACGCCCTTCACTGCTCTCTGCAAGTTTTCTTCTTCTGATGGGTTTTGGTTTAAGCAGAGGCTGGGGGCAGGGAGGTGTCTTTCATGAGTCCGGCTGGATACTGCACCCTGGTTCCCCAGGAACGCAGAGGTGTCTGGTATCATTAGGTGTAGGACAAACACTAATGTTATAGAAAAACAAACTGAGAACTAAAAGCTTATTTCAAAAGTGGAATTGATATTAAAAATGCAAGGTAATACTCAAAAGAAAAACTAATTTCACTGATTCCAAAAGGAAGAGTCAGTTTATTATTCAGGTTCAAAATGAACAGATTCAGCAAGACCGTTTTGACATCTTTGTCTAAATCCCCTTTCTCCCTTATCCTCAGTGCTGCTCCTAGCATTTCAAACCTAGTAGTGGGACATATACTGTTGAGTTAAGCATTGACCTCAAACTGATTGAGAACTTTCCATTTCGTAGGGTAATTATTAATTTTATAATCTTATCCACAAATCTTTTCAAAGACTTTTCTGTATTGAAACATGCTGTAAGGCTTAAGATTCCATTATGGTCCAGGAGATAGATAGATCAATTGATATTGGGGAACTTTTATTTATGAAGGCCTGTGACCACAAGTATACTGGGGAGAATTGTGTATCCTGTTTAAAATTACAAGTCCAATGGAGATCATTGTCTTACCTCTGGCAATTTTAAAGCAAGTCCAAACAGGCTTATGAAAGCTAACTATAAAGGCTGGATGCTCATCATAGAGTTGGAAAATTTCCTTATATTGTACTTATTAGAATTGGCACTCATTTTGAGTCATGGCTCAAAAAAACATGAATTTATTATTGTTGTATTATATTTTTAAAATGTTAGTTTTAGTAGACTGAGCCACACAAACTGGAGCTAGATACTGTATGAGGCCAGCTATTTCTTGAATCTCGCCTCCCCCCACTAGACTTGCACTGTCCTAATTATGGGCGTCTCCTGTGCAGTGGCAGTCATTTCTGTCTAGCTGTATGGTGACCTAGAGATCACCAAACTGAGGTCTTCAGAGGTAAAACATACTATTTCATTAAACCACTTTGCTTACTAGAGAATGAGACCTGTCTTTGCATTTAGACTTTAAAAAATTATTTGCATCAAACTACTTTATGCATTATTTTAAATGGCAGAATTACAGACTCAACCGAAAAAGAACCATATAATGAGAATCCTGAAATCTAAAAGCTAGGTCTTAATTTAAGAGAATTAAAACACTATTTTTCTAACTCTTAATCTGGAAGTTTGAAAACTAAAAAGTACATCTTACCTTGAGCAAACTGACACACATCAATATTTCTGTTGACGTTTCTTAGTCTAGTGCAACTCTCATTCACCTTTCTTTAACAGTGTTTTGCCATTTGTGAAACAGGTAGTATAGGAGTCGAATGTATTTGGGTACACACTGATTTCCTTATCAGAAAGAAAATGTTCATGGTTTAGCAATTAAATATAAAGTTCCAGTATTAAACAAGTCTTAATTCAGTCAACAGTAAGCCATTGTTAAAATATTCTCATGATCTAACTGTCTATAATATAGTTTTATAAATGTAATTTACTGCAAAATACTGATGTTAAGCTATTCCACACTGAAGAATCCCATAATAATTAGATTTTTTGGCCTCTAGAGTAATCGAGTCACCCTGAAGATGGACGTTTCACATACAGAACATTCTCATGTGATTGGCAAAGGTGGCAATAACATTAAAAAAGTGATGGAAGAAACAGGATGTCACATCCATTTTCCAGACTCAAATAGGAATAACCAAGCAGAAAAGAGCAACCAAGTAAGTATTTAATATTTTATTTATATTTTACAGTATGTATTCCTAGAGAATTGTTATGGTGGTGCCTGCAATCACACAATCTGCTGGAGACGCATCTTCAGACTATCATGGATAGGTATGAGGGTAGCAGAAAAGCAGTGAGAAGCAACTGTGGCTACAGAGTTATTCTTTGGGAGAATAGGTCTACATCAAGGATCACTATTCATGTTTGTGATTAGAGTGGACACCTTGATGTAGGAGATTAGGGGAGAGGCTCCACGAAGCCTGCTTTTTGATGATAGCATGTTGTCCCAGGAAGATAACACCACACTGGAAAGGGGTTTAGAAGGAGGCCCCTGGAGGGCTGCATTAGAAGAAAATGGCTTACAAATTATCCAACAAAAGACAGAATATGTGATGCTTCGTTGAGAGGGACACTGAGAAGCCAGTAAAATTAGGTGGTATAGAGTTAGTCTGTTCAACAATTTAGATGCTCAGTTCATTGTTGAGCCATGATGGGAATGTGCATGCAGAGGTTAGGAGCTTGTAATGGAGCATAGATTCTTCCCCATCCTTGGTCACCACAGAAACCACTCAGACTCTCTTCTTGTGTGTCCTCTTTGTAAAATTTATTCAAGTCCCCTCCAGCAACTCCTGTACAGTGCAATACAGCAGATCTAATACTTATGACCTGATTTCCTTCAAACCCTGTTTATCGGGGCCCTGCGAGGAAGAGATCTCCCTTCCTTCGGATCTCCTTCAGACCGAGCACAGACAGCTAGCCCAGTTCTCCCTCCCTGCCCCCTACTCCCAACACGTCCTTCCTGTCTTTTATCAAGCTAGTCATCTGATGAGTCAATTAGTTCCTTAACTTATCCAGCCTCCCTATCTGATTAACTAATTCCTCCCTATTTCCTCAGTCAGCCATCACCAGGGGAACTAATTGAGGCCACAGTGATCAGAGTGCTGATCCATCTGTTAGGCTTCAGCGCTCTGTCACAGAGCCACATGAAGAGCATGTGGTGTAAATGGAGGGAGTAGACAGGAATTTTCTACTATAAGAATAAGTCCAAAGTATACAAGATCGTGTTTAGGCCTGCTCTGACATTTGAGTCAGAATGCTAGCCAATAAGGAAGAGAAGAACAACTTCTTCCACTGCCAAAATGAGAATTTTCAGATGGATTCCAGGTAAGACAAGAGCTGATAGACTATGCAATGAAATGGTATGGGCCTCATCACGGGAAAGCTGAGGGAGTATCTACTGAGATGGCTGGATCATGTTAGGTGACGAGATAAGGGATAAGTTGACCAGAAAGTACAATAGCTAGTAGTCACAATACAAAGACCATGAGAAAGACCTAGAAAAGGGTGGTTTGGGATGATGAAGAAGGAGATGAAGAAGGTTGATGTCAGCTTGGAAGATGCACTTGACAAGAATGCTTGGAGGTTGTGACAGGGTGCCGATTAGAAAGACTTCAGAATCAGCCCCCTGCCATGCCAGCCCCATTTAGGTGAATAAAGTGGAGCTGGCTGGTAAGAACCTGCCCTAATTGGGGAATGAGGGCCAGCTGCTAGCCCAATTAGCCTATATAAGAGGCTGGGAAGAAGGAAGCCGGGATGGTGGGACGGAAGAGAGTGAGGGAGTGCAGACTGGGAGAAAGCCCTTCCCTCCTGGGTTCAGACACAAGGAACCCGGAGCTGTATAAGCTGTATAGTGAGAAGGTGGTAGGAGCACAATCTTGTAAATAAAAGCACCAGTGGTAGGCTCTCTGAGTGACTTTATCTGAGCCTAGCAGATGCAGGAGCCAGGAGGGTAGCTACTCTGTTACAGAGATGAAGAAAAAGAGTCACTAACTCTGATTGAGGGGACAAGGCAAAGGGAAAGTAATAGATGATCATGATGGTCCCATTCTGGCCTTAAAGTCTGCTTATTAATATAAGCTGGTTATTCAATTATTTTTAGTTTAATTATTTTTTGCCTGGTTTGTATACCTTGATGGCTATGGAAATTAACTCTTCTTTTCTAAATCGGGTGGGGAAATCAATGGATTATTCTAGGTGGACTGAAAGAAAATCTGTTTTTGCAAAAGATAGGGACAATTAGTGATGTGTTTATCAAATTCTTTCAAATATTCAGAGGACAATCATTCAGTATAAGGAAGTGGTAGAGAAGCAGGGCATCTGGATTACTGATTTTTATTTATTTTTTAAATTTCTGGGTGTTTTTGGCATGTTAAAAGTTATATAGAAACTAAAGTTTGTAGATGTCTAACAAAAATGAAAACATCTGATAATAGCAGTTCAACTTTATTAGAGTGAAGATTGCTTGTTGAATTATAATACATCAAAAAGAATCTTGCTGTTCTGTAATACCAAATTTAAAGGATATTTTTACTTTTCAGTCTGTCATTATAGCATACTAATAATTTATTCAGGCTTTTTTTAAGTGGCATGTTCCATAAAACTCCCAGTGGCAATTTAGGATGTCATTTTTAAAAAGTATATTATGTGTTCAGTTCCAACCTTAAGGACTAATAAACTGTTGCAGAATAGTAATTGCAGGGTTCATTCTGAATGGCTATGTTGAATTTTGATTATAGTTTCTTCCATTATTTGTTCAAAGTTTTCAGAATGTTGTAAGAGTTTGTAGCATAAAAATCAATATACAAAAGTAACCCTTTACTGGAGGGATTCAGTTTTCAACTACTGTTTTAAAAAATGCCTCAGACACCAACAGAAGTACAATACATATAAAAAATAACATATTTGGAGAATTTTTCAGATAATTTATATGAAAATGATACTATGTTGTCTGTGTTCTGACTTTTTCAGGTGTCTATTGCAGGACAGCCAGCTGGAGTGGAGTCTGCCAGAGTTAGAATACGGGTAACTGTATTTCCATAACTCACATCTCAAACACACTGGAGATAGAAGAAGTTGGGGGATAGAAGTGGGAAATGATAGTTCAGTTCTGAGTTGACTGGCTCTGTGTTGTTGTCTCTAAGCAGTTCATATCGTAAAACCCAAAATTGCAAGAAAATAATGTCAGCAATATTCACAATGAACATTCATTTGTTTGTTTAATCTTTTTAATTATGCAGATTTTGTATTTAAAATCTGCTAAAGGGCTCATGAGTTGTGTGTACATTCGTGTTACAAATATATTAAGAATGTTAGCATTCATGTGGACAAACTACATAACACTGAAGTGACTCGTGTTTAGTCACCTTATGTTACCTAAACTGATTTAAAGCCTGAATTTAGTGTCCGCTATTTAAACCAGATTTGATCTTGCAGTCCTTCTACTAAGAATTATGTGCTAAATTCTCCCTCTGCAGAGGTAATTTAGTTGCCTATGATTGAATTTTAACTGTTATATGCAGTAGGTGCAAGTAATGTGATGGACTGTAGCAAAATAAATCCATCCCCACCAATCGCACTCTGCACTCATTTCCCCCATCATAACAATCTCTTTTGATTTTATATATATCTCACACAACTGTATTTTGAACCATATGACATATTATGAACATTTTAATATTCTATACATACATTAAGTCTGTATATTTGATGGCTATAATGGTTGTGACAGAAAGCATGACTTACAGGGTTTTTCCATAAAAAGTCATTGTTTTTCTAACCCCAGCCATCCCACTATGGAGAAAGATCCCTGCATGAAATTTCACAAATGTAGCTCAATATATGGTATGTAAGTATAGAAGAGTGTGGGAATGTGACATGGGGTTTTGTTGTTGTTGTTGTTGTTGTTTTTTTTTTACTTTCTTTATTTGCAAAAAAACTGTGGCTTTTTTGCCATTTTTCTAACGATGTATGACATTCTCACTTTTTTCCCTGGCAAGGTAATGCATTTTTTCCATTTGTTTGTGACAGCAAACAACTTGCCTTGGATGATGTCAACAAACTTAAGTTTCTATAAAGAAAGCTCAGGGAGATTGTAGATATCCTAAATGTTATCTCAGCGGAGTGACAGACAATTCTGAATTTTTATTAAAGTTGTGGTAGGCTGAGTAAATGTGATTGTGCTTCAAATACATGCTGTGATTTTTCTCAATCTCACTCTAGGAGCTGCTTCCTTTGGTACTTATGTTTGAATTACCCATAGCTGGAATTCTCCAACCTATCCCAGATCCTAATTCTCCTACGATTCAGCATATATCACAGACTTATAACATTTCAGTTTCTTTTAAACAACGTTCTCGAATGTACGGTGCTACTGTCATTGTTAGAGGGTCACAGAATAATACTAGTGCTGTGAAGGTAATACATTTAACTAAAGTTATTCCAGATATCCTAAATGTGTAAAAACTTAGTTGCTTAAATGGTGTCTTGTTGTACTATCCTGGTTGATCCAGAAGGCATTTATTATTATAGATTTTAACAATTTGGATGCACTGATCTTAAATGTTTTAGGGTGTTGTTGTTTTTTTATAAAATAGGATTTGTGTATTTACAGAAAAACATTTTCCATTTGAAACCTAATTTTATATGTTTACTTCAGTTTACATTTTAAATATATCAGAGACCTTATTCAGGCTTTAGGCACTCTGAGAAATGATTAATATCGCAAACCAAAATTAAAAAAAACTATACCAGAGCAGGGGCCAATCTCACCTATCACCAAAAACAGCAAGTAAGCAAAAAATGTAAACCAATGAACAAATCAAATCCGAACCCCCACATACCTGAGTCCTCCCCAAATGTCTGGTTAAATAGGTGGACTTGCAATGCACCCTAATGGTCAACAAATTTGAGCTATTTCAGACAAAGGGGGAAACAGTGAATTCAAAAGACATGGAAGGGGCCAATCACTCAGGACATGTTGCTAACAGCCTTTTAAGCTAAAAGCAAGGGCGCTCCAGCTTGAGTATTTCTGTGGATGACAGCTGTGGCAGTATGATACAGAGAGAGACGGTGGTGTCAAGTAGGTAGGTCTCAAGTCAATTAGGGCTTCAGAGACCAAAACAAGGGTCAAATCTAGCGACTAGATTTGTTCAGATATATCCCTATTGACTTCTGTGTGGCTGCATGTGGGCACAGGTTCCACCTGTGTGGAACCAGGCGCAGGACTGAGGCCAAGACATAAAAGGCCAGATTTTTAAAGGTATTTAGGTGCCTAAAGATCCAGATAGGTATCCAATGGGATTTTCTAAAGCACGTAACTTCCTTTGAATTCAGTGAAGTTCAGATGCAGTTCAAGAGAAGTTAGGTACAGTCCAACTCTTTCTGAATTATAAGTTAACTTGATTTTAAACAAAATCGTATATTGCTTCCCCCCCACCCCCTCTTAGTAAATCCTTTATATGTTGCTGCTTACTTATTCTGGAATGTGAAATGTGTGCTGTCTAAAGCAAATGTAATCTGATTAAATTCTTATTTTGTATCCACCTCTGTGCAGTTTTGGTTGTTTCTCTATAATGTATTTTCTCCTATTTGTCTGTAGGAAGGAACAGCCATGCTTCTGGAACACCTGGCTGGGAGTCTGGCCTCTGCAATCCCTGTGAGCACGCAGCTAGATATTGCAGCACAGCATCATCTCTTTATGATGGGTCGAAATGGCAGTAACATCAAACATATCATGCAGAGAACTGGTGCTCAGATCCACTTCCCTGACCCCAGTAACCCACAAAAGAAATCCACTGTCTACCTCCAGGGCACTATTGAGTCAGTCTGTCTTGCCAGACAATATCTCATGGTAAATATTTCAGTGACATCTGTAGGAAAAATGTCAAGTAACTAAAAGAAAATACTACCAGTTCTTGTGTATTTATCATCCAGATGCAAATGACTTTCTGTATTGGAGCAGAAAAAATAGTATTTATTTACATAACAGAATACTGATTGAGATGAGTGCTCTTATTCTGACTGTCTCTAATGAAATAGTTTTTATGAACTGTAGTTGTCTTATATCTGATTTTATCAATAAATGTGTTGTACACTATCATGATAAAAGATGCTTTGCCAATATAAATGACATAATTAAAATTGGTTATGATGGTGATGTTACCGATTAGAAGGCAGAAATTGAGATAAGCAGTTCTTTTCCTCCATTAATGTCCAACCACCTCTTTTTTTCCATCTTTTTGTTAGCGTGATAAGTGGGCAGCTTTTCTGGAGCCAGTGAGAGAGGTTACTTAGCATATGTGTGGACCAAATGATCTTTTTTAGGGCAGGTTTCCTTGGAAGTACAGATGATCAGATACATTGGAGACACTTGCTTACATCCTAGCAGGTTCTACATTCTGTAGTCTTGTCAACTACATTAGCAGCAGAACTGTCAGAAATTTTCCAGTGAAACATACTTTCTTTGGGAAATGCCAATTTGTTGGACCAAAACGTTTTGTTCTGAGTCCATTACGCACCAAGAAACAGACAGGCTTCTGTTGCGGCTCGGGGCGATGGCAAGCTCCCGACACTGAGGCATGGAGCCTGCCACCCTCTGGACCCAGGAGTCTGCAGGTGGCAGGCTTTCTACTCCACAGCTGGAGCCATGGTTACTGCCAGGACTCTCGGGGCTGCTAAGCTCCATGCTCCATAGCAGCATCCTTGGGAGAGCCCTGTCTGGAGCTGGAACTCTCTGGCTGGAGGAGGGAGCCTAGCAACCTGGAGAACCCAGTTAGGCTCACTGTTATGAAGCAGCTAAGTAAAATTGACAAGAATGTTAATTTCCTATTTTGTTTCGGGAACACCATATTTCAGTGTTCTTTAAACAAAATGATTGGGGATCTCTGGTTCACCAGGAAATTTGCTTTTTTTCCCAAATCAGAACAAAAGCAATATTGTGAATAACAATATCCCTTGCAAACCAAATCTCCCTGAGCTTTAGCCAGTTCTAATTAGTGGTACTATTTCTTTAACAAAGCTAACCATATTGGGGGGATATTTGTTTTGTTTTTACAAGTGCTATCTTAGTGAGCCTCTAGTGTGGCTGACTGCGGCCTTTAGGTGGTCTTGTAATGCTAAGAACAACAATATTAGTCTCATAACAGTGACAATTGGGGTTTAGGACTGATATAGAGCTCTTGATATGGTGACATGAGGGTTTCAACTAATTAATAAACATTAGGTGAAGGTGTTTAGTAACTGATCATTATTTCTGCAAGTAGCATATTTGTGTTTCACCTCACTGAGAATAAAATGGGTTAGTTTTTTTTAAATGAAATAACTGATTCAACTAGCCACATCATCACAATCTCTTTAGCCACTGTTCGTGTAATATTTTCACGTTTTACAATTAATTACAGCTATCTCTAGTGAGTTTGTATTAAGGGTTGAATGTTAAGCTCTTCATAGTAAACATAATCTTTAGTATAGTGTTCTTTATCTCTACATTAGTCACAGTTTCTGAGCTTAATAGAGGCTTCTAGGAGAAGTATGGGGTATGATCTAGAGTTGTGACTGCCAAGACTGGGTGCATTATGATTGGAGTTTGTTTATATCTCATGTAACAAAGAGAATAACCATATGATCAAGACTAACATACAGAAAATGTAGGAATATCACTTGTAGATGTAACCCCTTTGCACTAGATAAATATATACAATAGATGAATAAAAATAAAAAATGAAGTTTGTATTATAGAGACATAGGTATTGCAAGCCCTTATATTACTGACTTCTGAAACCCCATGTCTGTACTGTTTTGAGCTATTCTCCCTTCCTTTACCACCCCAACATACATACTCCATCTGCACTGGAAGAGAGAATGTCTAGAGAGAGAGAGAGAGTATGTATGTGTACATAGTTATCTATATTACAAATAATAAAATCTAATAGTGTATTGATTCCTAAATAGACATGCTTATAAATATTGAGAGACAGCTATGCTATATATATCATCAGTGAGCTTCAAAGTATGCTACTCCAATTGTCATTCAAGCTGGAGAAGATAGGTGAGACAGTAGTGCCCCAAAACATAAGTAAGAATAACATATAAATATTCAAATACCCTTTGCTACATGGAGGAAAGAAAGATTAGAAGCTATTGAAAGGTTTTTAGAATATTGCAAAATTCAACTTTCTCATGGTAAAACATCAGTAGCTCCTCAAAGCTACAGGAAGTCTATAGTCCTTAAGAAGTATACTGACCTAAACTGAGGAACAAATTGAGATTTAGTTTGTCCAACCTGGCATTGTTCCATATATTTTGAAATATTTACTCATGTTTCCAATTTTATAGCTAAACGTGTTTTTTAAAAGCAAGTGTTACAAAAAATGAATGGATATTTTTAATGTATGCTAGAGTCCCTATATTTGCTAGCTGATATGACAAAACTGAACATATTTTTAAAAGGAGAAACTAACTGTGTGTGTGTGTGTGTGTGTGTGGAGAGAGATGAAAAAGTAGGAGCAAGAGATATTTACTAACTTAAAAGCTTTAACTACTTTTTTTAACCCGGTCAGCTGCGTGGCATAAATAGCTGCATTCATTCCTTGGATCTTCTAAAATAAATTTCAGCACAGTGGTTTTTTGGCTCCATTCAGTGGACTCAAATTTCTATATTTTTGAGAGCTCTGTGGTACCAGAAGCTTTCTAGCTATAGTCCGATTTATTATTGGCTGCTTTCATCTTTCCTGGAAGCAGGCCAAACAGGTGCTGATGTTGTCTCTGAGCTAGACAATGAAGCTATCTCATGATTTTTGTAATAATACATTTGATGGAAAAATATACAACAGTGTAAACTGTTTTTCTGTTTAGCCATTTCTCTGAGCATGACAATTTCTATAAGCAAACTTTACATGGCTCCCTAATATCAACAAAGACAAAACGGGTAGCCTAAGCAAGCTCCCTGTGAACTACTGAAGTGCTAGTCAGTGCATGATACTATAACACTAGTGAAAGAGACCAAAAGTTTGAGAGAGGTCTTGTGATATACTATTCCAAAAGCCTCAAGATCAATATGCTCAACCCTTTGAGGTAGGTGATATGTATGTTTCTCTTAGTCTATGAAGACTGGATAAACTACAAAGTAATATTGATAACTTTTAAAAGCAATTCAACTCTCACAAAATGAAATTGAGAAACTAATATTGTGGATCTAAACCAATTATTTATATTGATTCCTATATGTGTCCAATGTACTAATTATTTAATGTGACACAAACATGTCAAACAAGATTTTAATACAACATATATTACATTCCTTTTTATAAGGTGCGTACATTTTGTGTATTAAAAATTAATTTGCATTATTCTTAAATGTAAATGTTAATATAAACGTGACATTAACACAAGTTTACTCACCGAAAAGGCCATGATTTATATTGAGATATAAATTGCAGGCGCCCCTAAATTCTAACTTGGAAAGCCTTCCACATTCCAGATATGTTCTAATCAGAGAACTACATCACTTTGCCACTAGTTTACACATTTTGATCTTTATGCAACTCTAGTGCCCAAATATGGCTGTTAAGATAATGTCCATATGAGAAAGTGGTAAATGGCAAACCATAAAAGAAAAGCAAATGTATGTTGTGACTCAGAATAAAAACGTTGAGTGAGTTGTTTTGTTTTGTTTTTTTAAAGAAGTCAACAGTTAAAAGCTCAGCATGTTGTCTTCTGGGTGTTTTGTTTGTTTTTTCCTATTCATCTGTCTTTTTCTCAGTATTTCAGTATCCACTAATCAGTAGCTCAAGAAACTTAATTTCAATGACTGCATAAAATAATTTTATCTATGATCCAATTGCTCATAACATTAAAGTATTAATTTATTTTCCATATTGAAAAGTTAGTTTTGTTTCTTTAATCTCCCTCCAAAGAACACTCTCTGCTTTTTTTTTTTAAGGGTGGGGGAAAGCCTCCCCATTTAGCATTGGCTTCTTTCTGGTTGGGCATATTTGCTTTCTTTCCTTTTTCCAATACCGTCCCCAGGTGTTCTAAACATAACAAAACTACAGTCCAGCCACCAAATCATGTTACACGCTTATTAAAACTTACTTCCAGATTGTAAAATTTCAATTTTGGGCTATTTTGTTTTCTTGACCTTTTGTTTATTCAAATGCTTATTGAATAATTACATTTTTGGCTTTACAAAAGCTGTTGGAAAATCCAAGTATGATATGTGCTCAACATTTTTCTTAACACAACAAAATGGGTTGTAGTCCGGATTATTGATTTGAATGTGTTATTTTCAAAGAATGATTACTCATGACAACGGCTTCTTCGGCCAAGTTAACTTTCTGAAGTCAAACTGTTTTTCATCGTCTTCCCAAAGCTGATACCCTAAAATAGTGTCATTTTCTTTTTGCTTAAGCTTGACTTGGTTATATGGACTAACCTGTAACTGTTGACCATCTTGGCATTATTATTTTTGAAGCATTCTTATCTGCTTTTCATTTTTTCCCAATATCCCTTTTGAACTTTGGTGAATTTGGAGGGTATTTTCTTCTAGACACTGTTAGCTATCTGAATATAGTCCCTTTAAAAAAAATTAAACATATGCCAGGGTTTTTTTAAAAATGGATGCCTAAAGTCAGTGCTGCAAAGTCCATATTCAAGAACCTATGTACAGATGTTTCAAAAGTGCTGGGCACCTACCAGCTACCAAAATATTATTTTCATAAATGAAGGGCTAGATTTTAGGGAAATGAAGGGAATGGAATATAAGTAGTGCAAAGGTAGTAAAGCAAAAGAGTCAAATATGACAAAATATTATGGCCAAGATTTTCAGAAAGTGCTCTCCATATTTATATACCTAAATAAGTGGCTTCGCTTCCTGCCTCTGCCTTCACTTTCTGCTCTAAACTGCTGAGTAGTGTAGTTTTACTCTGTTGAACTGCTGCTGTTTTCCTGGTTGCATTGCTGTGGTGGATGAAGTGATTCTTGTCTAGTCTATGGACACTTTGAAACCCTTTGGAAAGAAAATATGTGAGGTTATGCAGAACTTATACCTGCTGAATAGATATGATTTATTACTTGCCATGCTGCTCAGCAGCATCTGAAGCACGTTCAACAAGTTGGCAGTCCTTAAAGGTTTGACCATTTTTATGTGTATATTTTATATCTACATTTTTCTGATGAATGGGTAATACTGTTTTTGGATTGCACTGTCAATGTCCATTTTAAATTGTAAATTTTTGGGGTCAGGAATCATGTTTTCTTTCCTTTTTTGCACAGCAAACAGCATGCATTTGCTACTCTATATGATAATAATTGTTTCCTTCTCTACCAGTGTTGTCTTATTTTAAAATCTCATGAATTTCAAAAGTGTTGCAGCTTAATCTCTGAAAATACAGATTTAGCTACTCAGTGGTGAGGCAAAGGGAAATTTTATTAAAGATTTGACAATCCAGCGGGATTTTCTTTTTCACAATTATAACATTCTTTTTTCTCTCACCCGAAATATGATTTTAAGGTAAACAATATGACCAAATAATGGTACTGCTAACTATTCTCTTGACAATAGTTTGTGGCAATTAGACAGTACATACATACAAAAGTTGATCCTTCCAACATCCTTAATTTTGGGTAGTGAATGTGTATAACTTGAGTTAAATCTTTGTTTACTATGAGGTGAGATTCTTATTCAACAAACCATCGCACCCTCAAACTGTCAAGCTCTCTGCTTGTTGGGGTTGTGGGAGGTAATACTCATCTTGTAAAATTTCATTCTCACCATTTCAGTCAGAACTGCTAAGATCTTGAGTTACATAGGACAGGAAAAGTTGACTGTCATGTTTTAGCCAATGTTGTATTTGGTACAAGGGTACTTTATAATTTGGATTTAACTTTCCAGGGTTGCCTTCCTCTTGTGCTGATGTTTGATATGAAGGAAGAAATTGAAATAGAACCACAGATTATAACTCAACTAATGGAACAACTAGATGTCTTCATCAGCATTAAACCAAAGCCAAAACAACCAAGCAAGGTTGGTCAAAACCTAACATAGTTTTGCAAACTATGAGGTATGTTCTCTGTACACAAAAACCCCCATAATGCTATATGAAATATTGAACACTTCATTCCTGGATATTGCATTTAAAAGAGCCATTCACTGATTTGTCTTGTCTTCGCTTTGGTACTGCACTTGTGATATGACCACGTTCTGTTCCAGTAGTTGCCACCCTTTGATTGCAGTGAAGCTGTACACATTAAGAGCAGAATTTGGCTCATTAGATTTTAGTTTCCAATCAAAATGCATTTTTTTCAAATGAATTACAAACGTGACAAAAATGTCTTCAGGTTGAATGTTCCATACTATACTATCTCTGTTCTACAGCAATTTTTTTGTATTAAATATTTGACAAAATTTGGATCATCTGATTTGTCTAAGTGACTGATCCTGCAAACCCTTAGTAGAAGATAATGGAAGTAGCCACAAGTAAAACTGCTCTTGATTTGGTTTACAGGATCAAATTTTAAGTCACACAACTCCCTGTTGTTTTTAACAATCTCTAGGCCTATTCTGATTTGGTGAAAGAGAAGTCTTATGTTCATATAATTTTTTGCAGCAGGTAATGAATGTAATGGTTGAAAAATTAATCCTTTTAAACTGAGGACACCTGTCCTTAAACCTGCCCAGTTCATTGTTTTTGGATCCTGGTCCAATCCATTATGTATAAATGTTTGACAAACAAATTGTAAAATGTCAGATGAACATTCCATTATGTCAGCGGTTTTGATGCTAAATGTAGGAACATTTCAAGTCAATAAAAGGGACTATATCATTTTCATTTTGTACTTCTAGGCTCCTGTATTGAATTTAATGCATATAGAAAAGAAACATGTTTTTTGTTTATTGCATGAAGCATGTTTCTTGTAAATGTAATAGGAAGCAAACATGAGACTCTTATCTAACAACCATCTCTCTTGGCTACCTTCTATAGAGCTTGGACGCTTACAGTAGCTGTTAGCACCATTCCATCATCATAGTCAGGCCATAATTATCCTTCCTAACTTTATTAGCTTCATTTAATTAAAAAAATGAGCAGTATTCCTGGGACAGACTGTTTTCACTTTTAAAGGTGAACAAAAACATTAAGAAAAATGTTCTAACCTTGCCACAACCGCTAAATGCCTGAATAATCACTAATGGACTTTGTTACTGCTATTTTATGTTGTGCTCTGACTTTGCTGGGGGTGTGTCTTTACTGTGTGTAAACTACACTGGCATAATTGTTCTGGCATAGCCCCATAGTGTAGAAGCAGCCAGCACTGACAAAGAAGGGGTTTATCAGTGTAGGAACAGCCACCTCCCCTAATGAAGTTAGCTATGTTGACAGAAGTCCTCTTCCGTTGACATACCTGCACCTACACTGGGGGTTATGTTGGTATAGCTACGGCGGTCACTAGTGAGGTTTTTCATATCTCAGACCAGCATAGTTCTGCTGACGTAACTTTTCAGTGTAGACCAAGCCTGTGGCTCTGAAGCACTATTGTAAGATTTGTGTTTTCATGAATTTATATTATACCTTCATATCAATCTCTCTTCTTTTTTGCAGTCTGTGATTGTAAAAAGTGTCGAACGAAATGCCTTAAATATGTATGAGGCAAGGAAACGTCTCCTGGGACTTGAAAGTAATGGAGTCACCATAGCAGCAAATCCATCTACAATCTCATGCCCCGTTGGCCTCTCGTGTCCTGGTTTGGACATCTTGCCCTCAGCAGGGTTAGGACTCACTGGACTTGGTATATACTTTACTCCTTGTTTTATAATGTTTGAAACACAGTTCACATGTACTGGGAAGTACAGGACCAGCTATACTTTTGAATTATGAGTAGCATTAGATGTTGGAAAATTTAAGGCTCACCTTGACATTTCAAGAGTATTTGTCATTACAGAGCATCCTTCAATGTTTTAGTAATGGATAGTGGGAATAGTTTCAGTGTATCCTCTGAAAGATGGAGAAGTTTAGACATTTGAAAACTAAACTCTTTACCCATTCAACTTAATGTATATAAAGGGAGGTACTCCTTTTTGGGTAGGGTAATACGTGAGAGAGAGATTATAAGTCATGTGTGGCACCCCATTTATGGCTTTCAGAGAAACCCTTATCCAAATGAACCACCTTACTCCTGGAGATATTATTTGACTTGTTAAATAGAAACTTTAGTGGGTGAACAGGGAAAAGACTCCTTGACTACACGGAGATAGTTTGCCATTTAACATTACTTAAAGGTTAGCCTTAGGTAGCAGCAATGTTTGTTTCTGACTGTAGTAACTAAATATTGAATGACACTGTTTCTTCAGAGAGACAAGGTGGATGAGGATCTTTTATGTTACCAACTTCTCTTGGTCCAATACAAGCTATTACCTCACCCACCGTATGTCTCTGATATCCTGGGATTGATACGGCTACAACAACACTGCAAACAACTGTTTCTTCACTCATGTGTTATTGGCACTTGTCTGTCAGTATAAAACTTAAACCAGGAGTGTGTATATTTTCCGTCTCTTTCTAGAAGAGAATTATTGTGCCATAAATAATCCAGGAAGGAATTATCATTTTGTGTTTAAAAGCTATAACTGCTTGATATCTTTGTTTACCAAAAATACGTACAAGCTCATGTATAGATATATTACGTTTTTTCCACCGTATTTGGGTTCTCAAACCTTCTCCATGCAGGACCATCACTGACAGAAAAGGGATCAAACAAACCATATTTTCTTTTGACTCATAGTTCAGCAATCCATTATGGTTGCATCCCGGAATCCATGCTTGTGACTTGGGTGGAAGCTGGAATCTTGGCTTGTGCCATCTGTTTACATTTTGATACCATGCTCCTCCCCCATGATACCAGTACTTTACACATTTACAAAATGTGGGGAGTTTTGTGGATGAGTTGTGGATGTTGGCTGGGGTTATGGGTTCTTAGGGGTGATGAGGTTTGCTAATGGAGGGAGGCAGCATGGTATTGCTAGGTGAGGATATGCTGCTTCCTCTCTCCTTCTTCCTCCACGCTTACACATCCATGTGCTCCAAAGAAGGCACAACTTAAAGAAAGTCAAGACTTGGCTGAGAGGAGGAGGGCTGTAAAGTAGCTGTTACCTCCTCATCACCTTTAAGCAATGCTTCCCAGAAAGATTGGAGAGACATGAAAGGGAAGAGTGAGAAGCTGTTTTTGGTGGCTGTATGAGCAGCAGGTAGATGCACTTAGATACTGTAGTGGTGGGAGCCAAATTGATAGAAGGTGCAGAGATTCGCCTTAGTTTTGTTTAGCAGCCACTGGTTTTTGGTGAATCCCCTTGCCCCATTTGCACGTGCACACTTCAAAAATCCCTGTCCTAAGTTGTGTGTATGCTCTCTCAGCAGAAATAGCATTGTAATTTTTGTAAAATATTTTAAAAATCAACACCAACACTTAATATAACCCTTTAAAAATGTTCTTTACAATTCCTGTATAAACAAATGCATAATGGATATAATTGTTTTGACAGGTCTCTTAGGTCCTACTGCCTTATCTGTCAACACCTCTACTGCTCCAAACTCGCTCTTGAATGCCCTTAATAGTTCTGTTAGTCCTCTACAGAGCCCAAGTTCAGGCACGCCCAGTCCTACGTTATGGGCAACATCTCTTGCCAACACAAGTGCCACAGGTCAGTAGATGTTAAATAGAAATTAAATTAGTTCTTAATTATTCACTAGAAAGAAAACTGAAAAAGACAGACCCATTCATTCTTTAAAGTCTCATAGAAGGAAAGAATTATTCAGTGTGTTTTCTTGTAAATGCATAAATATCCAAATATGAAGATTTTTAAACTAACATAATTGTGTTTTTATAATGTCACATGCAACTTTGTAGATTTTTTTTTAAATGGGAAAAATATCTTATCCAAAGTTTTGGATAGTGCATTAAGTAATCTGTTTGATTGGTCATTTTCAATATAATTGTAATTCAAAGGTTTTATATAAAATTCAGCTTTTATTCAGCCTGATGTACTCAACTTGTCAGTGAACCAGAAATAACTTCATTTTTGTACAGGTTTTTTC